GCTTTGGCTTCTTCTAAACATCATCAGCCACGCCCTGTCCATCTGTGAGGCAGAACAACCACTCACAAAGCAGCAGCTCGGGGATGATGTCACACATATGGGGCCTCTGTAGGCCTATAGAAACTCTGCGACTCTGTTTCTCTGCCTGACAGAAGCTAACAGCCGGTTACTAACCTGTGGTTTGTGGCTTCCTCCGCAGCTCTAGCTGCCGTTTCATTGGCTCTGACTCCACAGTGAGCTCCATACAAACCCACCTGTAAGTCTGTCATCACTGTAAACTGGCCATCGACGAGCTTGAGTCTGAACAGATGATGATGTAATGGTCTCGTGTCTTGTGTCCATTGAACAGCTGACAGTAGTGGGAGCGTTACTGTATACTCAGTCCATCCGTGACCCTTTTCCCCACGTTGACTGGCTCTGTTCTCTGATGCATCTGTGCATAAAATACTAATAATACTGATGAATGTAAGCCTGTGCTGTATGTGAGTTTAAAGTAAAAGCCCTGTCCCTGTTCATGGAGGTATTGCTGTAACTCTGACTGATGTTGACCTGATGCTCTCTGAGCCACAGCCCAGATTTTCACCCAACCACAGTCCAAGAAACTTAAATTTACTCCCTGTAACTCCTGACTGTGTAACTGAAGCTTCACTTCCTCTCCAACTCTTTCCTGTAAAACATTGTTTTGCTCTTATCAACTGAAAAATTTAAACCCCACTTTTACCACCACTCTTCATCTTTCCCAGCCGCTCCCAGCAGGAAAACATGAATTGCTCCATGGAAGGAAACCCCACCCCACCCTCTATGTCACATCATTTATCATTAAGGAAAATAACACTATGCTCCCGTTTTCTACAGGAAACCTCTCCGAGTGAATTCTCACTGGTATTTCTCTTAAACATCTATTATCCACCTGAACATCCGCCCACTGGTTTAGATCCTCTTCTGAAACACTTTGATGTTTATATACGCGTCCGTTACTTTCTGTGTAGTGCATTAGTCTTTCATTCATTCGCTCCATTATATAACAAAAAAAAGTCTGTCTTTCCCTGGTTCATGTACGGGCACAACCTCTGCCTCCTTCCGGCTTTGCCACAGTTTCTCCCAAACTCTGTCCTATCTAACAAACGACCATCGTAAAGCAAACCTGAGCTTCTCCTGGTGCTGATTTTTTGGATTTCTGGAGAAAAATGAAACTTCCTGTTTTCAATGCAAGCTGGAAAAAAAACAAGATGGGGAAAAATGAAAACATAATAAAAGTCATTAATGAATCCAAACGATCTGAAACTTCCCAAAGTCAACAACAGTTTAAAACACATAAAATAAAAATGTAAATGAGGTCACGTGATGCGTCGAGCTGAGCAGACGTGAGTTTGTGAGCTCTGCACTGGACAGCTTAAAATGTTGGTATTTTAAATCATTTTGCCAACAAATTGCCTCGAATGTTTATATATGTCTAAATGTCTTTAGACGAGTCACACCCCGGATCGAGCAAACGGAGAGAAAGATGCAAACGAGGAGTCAGAGCGAAAGCTAGCAGTGACATGGTAGCTAGCAATAGCCCCGGATATGAAACCATGTGCGACGCTGAGGACGCACTGAGCTCTCTGCGGGAAACTCCAAGAAGGAAGTTTTTTTGGAATGCTATTTTTGATAATATCAACTGGGATAAAGCGTGGCTTGTTCCTTTTAGATTTTGTATTACAAACAAAGTTAGAGAATTACATTTGAAAATATTACATAACATATATCCATCCAACACGTACGTTTCAAGATTCTGTGACATAGAAAATGTACCTTTTGTAAAACTGAACTTGAAATGTTACTCATTTGTTTCATGGCTGTTCATATAGTGCTACATTTTGGAGAGAGTGCAAGACAACATACGAAATCAAAATTGAAGGGAAGAACATTATCACTTATTTTGAAACTAAAGGAAAAAAAAGTGCCATTGTCAATCTTTATATCTTATTATGGAAATTCCATATACATAAATGTAAATTTCAAAACTCAACCCCATCATTTAATTTGTTTTTGATTGAAATTGAATATTATTTAAACTCTCTTAAATTAACTTCCAATAAAAAAGGTTT